AACATATTTTGATGTTTGAGTATACTAGGAACTGACTTGATATCAATTCAATGTATATGTGTAAATATATGAGTGCAAATGCACAAATCATGCACGAAGAAGAAATCTGAAAAAAATGACCAGTTAAGAGTTTATATGTTTTTCACACCAATACAGTTAGAATCTGGAAAAACTCAAAAAACAAAGATTGTATGTATCTTCAACATATTTCCAACAAATCTTAAATCACCTCATTTCAAGATCAAATGTAAAATTTATAGATAAAATACTGAATACAATTTATAGAAATATAGAGTAGTCGACTACACTGTATTGTAGTCAACTAGCAAGGGTTTTCCTGAGAACGCCAGGTTTGAGTTTAGGTCTGTTTTGTTTTATTTTGACCCGATAATGTGTAGGAGTATATATACACATTTTCCCTAAGTTGTAAAGGATTTTTCACAAAATTTTTAGCAGCAGCCACCCCCTCTCTCAAACCCAAAACCCTATATCTCAGTTTGACCCTTCTCTGAGGTGTTTGTCAAGGGAAAAGCGAGGTTTTTGCAGCATTCGACAGAGGAGGGATCTTGCACGTGTGTCTAGAGGCTTGACATGATGTTTTAGGCAAGATCACTTGCATCCAAACATGCACCATTAGTTAATGAATGATTTAAGATGTTTAATTCGATGTTTTACATGTTTAGATCTTAATCTAATGTGAAAAAGATTAAAATTTTGCTATTAACGGTAAACAAATGTTAGATCTACATGGTGTTCTTGTTGTTTATGATAGAAGCATGATCATGATCACTAGGGTTGTTTCTAATTTCATTTGTAATCGTTAAATCATGCTTAGGACATGTTTAAACCCTAGTTTGACCATTATTTGAGGGTTCTTTGTTATATTCATGCTTAAACCCTAGACTTATGATAAAAGAGCTTACATGTTAATTAAATCTGTTTAAACCCTAGGTTTGGGGTATCCTTGGTTATGTGAATGTGAATAAACGAAATTGTATAAGTTTCAAGCTTAATATGCAAGCATGCTCATGTTGATCTAATCGATAACTAGGGTTTATGTCAATTTCTTGATAAATGAGAAGATTAAACCTAAATTGTTGAATTAAGGGTTCAAATAATCATAAAGATTGTTCTTTTGATTTGTAATTACTAGTTTTGCATTGTATTAAAGTATGATTTACACGTGACGATTGCTAAGAGTTGTATGTACACGGAGCTGTGTATGTTTCTGCTTAGTAGTCGACTACTAAGAGTAGTAGTCGACTACTAATGATCAGTTTGGTTTTTTTACAGAATCTGTCTGATTATAGAGTAGTCAACTAGTGTACAGTGTAGTCGACTACTAATATTGATTCATGTTTTATAGAGTCTGAGTAGACTCGGTGTAGTCCACTACTAAGACTGATCTTCTTAACATTGTGTTGTTTTGATTGGAAATGCGAGCTCGAGGCTCGAGTTACATGATAGTACATATTTGATCATAATTATACATAAAGAGTATCGTAGTACACGTGTTGATACCCTAGAATGGGATTTTGTTAAGTAATGTTTCAAATACACTTTTCCTATGAATTTGTATCTGCACTAGGTTGTGCAAAGGTTTGTGAGCATATATTATTGTATCTGCACTAGTGTGCTTAGAGGTTTGTGAACCTATATTATGGTATCCGCACGAGTGTGCGCAGAGGTTAGTGAACCTATGTTATGGTATCCGCACGAGTGTGCGCAGAGGTCGGTGTACCTATGTTGTATCCGCACGAGTGTGCGCAGAAGTAAAGGAACCTATATCTTCGTTTCTGCATAGTTATGCGTAGAGGATTGAAATGTTTAATAGTTGTTATGCACGGAGGTGCTATTAGGTGAGAAGAAACAGAAAAGATAACTTATATGACTTGATAGCCCAATGTGTTTGGCGGGCACTAAATGTGATATAACTCACTCTTGAATAGTTTTACGTCTAAGAAACTCACTTATTAGAACACGGGACATATCTTTTACTCTGATGTTGAGTATGATGTTATACCTACATGCTTCTGTTTCAGTTATTTTGAGTCTTATTGTTTATTCTTTTGTTTCGGGGAAAAAGGATTCCTAGGTAGGCTATGCTTAAATAAATAGAGCCTCTACTACATGTAGTAGCCCTTCCCTTGGGGGCGGATGGAGGTGATCTTGCTTTAGCACTCTGACGCTTTTGTTGTTGTTCTTTTTGTTTTTATTTTTTTCAGGCGGTTCAGAGCATCGGAGAGTCGCATAATGACGGAGTTCATGCATAGTCGCCGTCATATGAGCTAGTAGATGAGACTCCACAGTAGACTGACTTCATATTCAGTTATTAGAGTTTTTCTTTATTCCTCACTTTGTAAAGGTTGTGAGCCTTGGTACATTCTTAGTTGATTTATGTCGTGATACATTTATATATTTCAAGATGTCAGATGTATTCAAGACTTGTTCTTTGAGACATGATTCATTTATGAGATATTCTTCCTATATCATGTCAGTTACAGTTATTTCATTATATTTCCTGTTTGTACCTACACTTTATTTCTGATTCCACTAGAGGATATTGCTGTGATTGGTGAAACTTGTTGTTGCACAGTGTGGATGCATAGTAGCTTTGACATCTCTAGGTTCACCTTGGACTGCAGCCATGTGTAAAACCAGGGACGTCACATTGGGTCCAGTCCATCACTAAGGATGCTTCTACAATTTGGTCAGAGTGGCCGCTCGATTCCTAAGTAGGATTGTTCCGTATTCACTCGCCATTACTAATAGAATCCTCGAAAGTTACTTCTCCTCCAGTTATCAGTATGCTTAAACTCAGTAGGTGGCCCCACCTGACTTGAGGTCATGGTCCGAGAGCACTCTAGAATGACAGTTGGCCTGAGCTCCTTAAGCACACTGTTGTGGATAAGGGTCGAGTGCATGGCGCTAAGCAATTTTTATGTCTGTCCACCATCCTCCGTGTCCGACCCAGCTAGCGGCCATCATTTCAACCCGCCACACCTCTAGGTATGGGAGATCAATCTTTGCATCTAGTTCACCACTACCCAACGCAACAACCTAGAAAACTACGAGCATAAAGAGATGTGAGGCATGATGCCCAAGCAGGCATGCCCTCAGCCATATATCCTCGGGCGCAACTCGTCTTCAAAGACTCGATGGTTTATGGATTCTGCATTTCAGTCCTAGTGTCTGATTTCACTAATTCTTCATCGATGTGAGAGACCAGATATCCATTGCCAAGAGTCATAAAGTTCATGGTACAACTACCGTACCACATCGTATGTCGCCTTGTCAAGCAATGCAACACACCATAGTCCTCTAAAGCATTACTCCTCAACACACACAGGGCTGAATATTGTTCTCACTCCCCATCTTGCAACGAGGCAGGACATGGAAAGCCATAAGGGTCCGAGGAGGTCGGACGGGCGGCGGATGTTACCCTCCCTCCACTCTTCCTAAGCAGATTACATGGTCACAATCATCCATTCGGGTCTCAACAATGATCCTTCTACGGGTTCCTACTAAAAAACCTTGTTACGACTTCTACTTCTTCTAGACGATAAGGTTCAATGGGCTTCTCACGACATGACAAGCGGGTAAACCTCTCTTGTCGCCGCAACTAGAACACTTCACCAGACCATTCAATCTGTAGGAGTAATGGGCAATGTGTACAAAGGGCAAAGACATAGTCAATGCAAGCTAATGACTAAACAATTGCAATGATCTATCATCATCACGATGAAATTTTCAATGATTACCTAGGCCTATGGGCTAAGACATTTGACTTGTTGAATACAGTAGTGTAGCGCGAGTGTGGCCTAGAACATCTAAGGAATCACAGACATGTTATTGCCTCAAACTTCCATGGCCGAAATGGGCCATAGTCTCATGAAGAAGCTAGTCGCAAAGGAATGTCTCCCCATAGGTACTTAGCAAGCTAAGTTAACAGAATTAACCGGACAAAATGCACCACCAATAAGAACGGCCATGCACCACCACCCATAAAATCAAAGAAGAGCTCTTAGTCTGCCAATCTTTACCATGTCTGGACCTAGTAAATTCCCCAATGTTCCGTCAAATTAAGTTGCAGGCTCCACTCCTGGTGGTGCCCTTCTGTTAATTCCTTTAAGTTTTAGCCTTGCAACTATACTCTCCGGGACCCAAAAATTTTGATTTGAAGGTGATATTAACAGAGATCTGTTTCCTGAACACTTGCATCATTGAACGTGAGTAGTCATGTACTTAATTGCAACTCCTTGTTTTATTTTCTACGTGATAAACCATAGGGTTAGAACAGACTTTCACTAACATCACAACTGCATCAGGTGGTGCTATGAGAAAGTGGATCACAAAATTAATAATTTGAACTAAAATTGTCGACAATCTTTGCTCGTCATCAAAGGTTAACTTGCACGATATTGCTTACTTGGAAAAATAGAATAATCAGTACCGCTAGAATCGTCTTCGTGTAAATATAGATAGTAAAAAAGTTCACTATGAAATTATTCTAATATATATTTATGTCATGTTCAACAACCAACAAAGTTGTGGCATAAATTTGAACAGGTAATGGACAAATATTATTATTATTCCCTTGGATGTCTGAACTATTATAAAGAACGGGTTTTTGCATATATAGACCTAAAATCCTCAACGTTTGCAAAGAAACCCCCGAATCTTGGCATTTGCAAAACTACTCGGAATTATTACACACTACATTTTTCTACCCCTTCCATTTAACAATTTTACTTCTTAAATAGTAAACTGTTTTTAGCCTATTGGAAATTATTGGGAATTTCAACGTCCTCTGGATTAAAAAAGCAATGTTCTTTAAGTTCAAGTGGTTGGAAAATGACATTTAGGTTTCTGTTGTTTCTTGTCAAAAGCTTTTATTCATTTTTTAAAATGTGAAAATGATGGAAGTGCTGAGTAAAGCGGCTTCCGTTAATATCAATTTTAATACCTCGTTTATTTGTACACGCAGCAGAAGCCACTCATTCAGCATAATCAAGACATTACGACCTTCTTCTGATAGGATGAGTAGTCGCCCGATAGATGTGTGTACAAAGAAAGATCGTTGGCCATGTACAGGGAAACCAACGGAATTTTAAGGGGAAACGCCTACAGAACATAACCGCTAAGCATTCATTCAATAACATGTGATTTCACAACTTAATGCCGTACTCCAATTGTAAAGATAGTTATAACTGAGCAAGAACCATGTGTTAACCCAAAATTTGGCCCCGCGGAATTCAAAAAACAAGCAGGAGGCTTCTTCACTTTCCAAGTATCAACTGAGCTCTCTGCTGAAGTTCTGTAAACAACTGCCAGGCTTGAGACAAAGCCTTGAGAGCATCTAAAATATCCTTGAGCACAGCTATTTCTTCATCCTTAATGAGACCTTGTACCTCTATTTGGGGGACAACCTTGTGTTTCCCATAATTAATCTCAAACTCAGTTGATTTTGCTATCGCGGTTTCAAGAACTGATGAAGGTATTCCTGGATTGCCAATGATGATGATTAACTTCCAATATCAAAGATAATTTAATAAGAAAATAAAGGATAAAACTAATGTGCTTAAACTTGTAACCATCAGTTCACAAATTTCGGGATCATGATATGCCAACTTACAACATTTATACAACGCAAAAGCATCATCCATTACCCATCCATTTACCCTGTGAACTAACCATATAGTACTGGTTTATTATCAAATGTGTTTTTCTTCAACAGAACTAAAGCTAATGCATCAAAGCATGATTGCCAGTTTGAACGATGTCACAACTAGATATAATACATTAGAGGACGGTCTCAGTTTTGGTCGACGCTGGAATGAGCCAAGGCAAGCTATGGTGCCGGCTTACTTTTGGATGATGGTAGGGTGCTGGGTTGAGATATGAACTTAGTGACAGCAAGGGGAAATGGAGCGTGGTCTCACTTTTGACAATGTGGTCCAGGGCCAAGCAGGCCTAGGGTAGCGAGATAAACTTAATGACTAAAACTTGTATTTTTCCATCCAGTGAGGAAGAGAACTGAGACCTACGACGTATATATCAAATTGACCCTTTCATTCAATTTGTTTTCAAAATTAATATTTCTATATGATGTAAGCTAAGTTTAAAATTGGCTAAAAGTCTAAGAGAATAGAAATGTCTTGCGAACCAAAAGAAACTTGGGTGTTTCTTATCCCAGAATTGGATGCCTCATTATTATTACTATTTTCATGTTTCGTGTGCCTTTCAGTTATGATTTATTTGAGAAACAAGTCAGATTATCTTCAAATACTGTGAATACGTGACGTGTTTGAGAATTGTAATTCTTTTTCTAGCTTTTGCTAGATTTATGAGATGTTTCTGATATGCTTTCTTGACAGGATCTCCAGAAAGCTAATACCTATATTCAAAGTCTACTTAAAACACAGTAATGACTCCATGCACAATATCATCCTAGCTAATGCAGTAAAGAAGTAACTAAACTGAAAGAGCTATTTTCTTTAGAAACATTTTATTTCTAAGACAATCTTGTCCATGAAAAAACATTCTTGGTGAAGGGAAATGTCCCGTGATGCCATCCTGAAACCTATAATAATGTAAACCTATGGAGACTGTAATTTTGGACAAGGTATGCATTTCAGAAGAGGGTATCAGGAAAAATATAAAATAATAGTTTTACACTTAATATCCATCCTAACACAATTAAATCTGGCTAAGACCAACGTAATAAATAGATGTCATAATGACATGAGAAAGAACCTTAAGATTTTGAATGGAGTCATGCAAGTTGAAAAGAACATTGAAAAGAATATTTAGAAGGGAAGGCAAGAATACCTGCCAACCGAGCAACATTGATACCATAGCTTTTAGGACAAGAACCAGGGGTGAGTCTATAGAGAAAACTAACTTCTTCAATGCCTCCAGTTCCCTTCTCAACTTGGCAAGCCATATGAAATAATGATACCTAAGATACATATTAGAAAGCGTAGAAATGTCTTACTAAATAATAAAAAATAATTATCAAACAAATAGATAACAAACCTTTGTATCATTCTGATATTCCACTGCTAATCGATGATAGTGAGTTGAAAACAACCCTCGGCAATGGATACGGTGGACCAGATAATTTAAAACAGATCCCCTGTAAGTTGCACAAATAACGCAGTCAATAGCTGAAAATTACACATCATATAAGCGAGAAATTTCACATCATAGTTGAGTAGAAACACCAAATTCAATCCAAATAATTTTTTTAGATCAATATACTTACGCAATAGCCAGTCCATCAGAAGTTGATGTGCCACGTCCAAGTTCATCGAGTGCTACTAGAGAATTTTGGGTTGCAGAAGTCTACATTGAAATTAATAACTTGTAGTAATACAATGAAGAAAGCTCCATGGTTTTGAAACAGCATAGTCACATATCATATAAGAGGCAAAACAATCATCGAGAAGAAATTTCATAGAGTACTTTCAAAGAAGCTCTCACCAGCATTGATGCAGTCTCTGAGAGTTCCGTCAGAAACGTACTTTGACCAGCCATAATATGGTCCCTTGCTCCCATTCGTACAAAGATACGGTCAACAGGTGTCAACTCAAAGCTTTCTGCGGGAACATCTGCCCCAAGCTGTCAAAATACAACCGAAATGAAGAATGAAAAGATTAATACACAACAACAGTAGAGATTTTCTTTCTTACCTGCGCTAAAATCACAGCCAAGCAAACCTGACGAAGAAGAGTAGATTTACCACCCATGTTTGGACCAGTCAGAAGGATGAAGCTGCCATGTCCACTGCCACCAATATGTACATCATTGCAAACAAAAGAACCTTTTCCTCCTAAGGCATCACTTCTTAGGACAGGATGCCCTAGACTTGTGGCAGACATACAAGCGGAGCTACCAGTTGAATGACATAATTCTTTGATAACTGGTCGACATGTGGGCCCTTCAAAGTACTCACTGAGAGTTGATAGACTAATCAATACATCTAGCTCTGCATCCCTCACAAAAAATAAGTCAAACAGTACTTTAGGTAGAGTATATTAAACAAAAAAAGACATGAAACACCTGATTCTTCACATGGACCAAGCTATACAATTTGCACAACAAGCTACACATTTATCATCTGAGTAGTGATTTTATCATGAAAAATAAAAAATAAAAAACTAATGCCGAAGAAGTTCTCGAAGAGAGTGTCAACAACATCAAATGTAATCCTCATTTAATTTTTACTAGGAAGAAACCATAAAATCATTCTGAAACACTAACCTGGATTTGATCGTAGCAGTTGTAGCAACTAAACAAAAAAACACAATACACACCTGATTGTTCACATGGACCAAGCCCAGGTGACAGTATTAGAGTGAAATAGAATATTTAGCTTCAACTGTTATGGAAGAAAATAAATATTTTCCTGATTGCTGTATACAATTTGCATAACGAGCTGCACATTTGTCATCTAAACAGTGATATTATCATGAAAAATTAAAAAAAACTAATTCCGATGAAGTTCAGGAAGATAATGTCAACAACATCAGACATGGTCCTTATTTTATTTTGCTAGGAAGAAACCGTAAAATCATCCTGAAGCACTAACCTGGATTTGATGGTATCAGTTGAGTTATTATTGTCAACACAGGGAATAGTACAAACACGAATGATAAGGGGAAAAAACATAATTCTTTTAAAGATCCCAAATATCTACTATTAAATCTAGGTAGCTGTTATTCAACATTAATTAATATTTGCACAATTGGGAGAAGATTGAGCATTGCACTATGATCAATTAGAGTGCGCATGAGACATACAATAGTAGTGTTTAGTTAGGGAGTCTGACAGGGATCGAATTACTCAGACACGTATCTCTTATATAGGCACGTGGGATCGATGTGTTCTATTTAGATTTAGTTACATATTTAGATTTTAGTTTAAATAAAAAAAAGATATGAAACAACTGATTGTTCACCTGGACCCAAGCCCAGGTGAGGGTATTAGATGTGAAACAAAAGTTATAGCTTCAAATGTTACGGAACAAACTAAATATTTTCCCCATTGCTCTATGAATCTTGCATAAAAAGCTACATATTTGTCATCTAAATGGGTGTTTACCATGAAAACAAATCAAAAAAAACACTAATGTCGAGAAGTCCCAGATGATAATGTCAATGACATCAGATGTGATCCCCATTGAACTTTCGCTTGGAAGAAACCATAAAATCATCCTGAAATGGATTTGAAGGTACTGGTTGTAGATATTATTGTAAACACATGGAATCCTGATGTTAAGAAGAAAAAAAGATGCACAATTCTTTTAAATCTACTAAATATTTACTAATAATATCCAGGTAGTTGAAGTTCAACATTAACTAATATCCGCACTATTGGAATAAGATTGAGCATTTTAGTCTAATCAATTAGATTCGGCACTCGAAGTACAATACTAGTTTCAGTTATGGAATGTTCAGTACCTGATGGGGATCAAATTACTCCGACGCACGTCTATTCTAAAGGCATGGGCCTTTGATGTGTTTTATTTAGATTTAGCTTCGGATTTAGATTTTAATTGTAATTTAGCTAGAGTATATTAAACAAAAAGAAAATAGAGATAGAAACCAATTGTTCACCTGGACCCAAGCCCAGGCGAGGGTGTTAGCTATGAAATCTAAGTTATAGCTTCAAATGTTATGGAAGAAAATTAACATTTTTCAGAGGACTGTATGCAAGTTGCATAACAAGCTACACATTTATCATCTGAGTAGTGATTTTATAATGAAAAAATAAAAATAAAAAATAATGCCGAAGAAGCTCCAGAAGATAATTTCAACGTCATCAGATGAGATCCTCATTTAATTTTCGCTAGAAAGTAGTGTTCAAAAACAAGCTCTACCCGGCTGGGCTCAAGTACTCTTACTTGACACTAAAACGTGTTGGGCAGCTAAAACCTGCTCGCTTATGTGGTCAAACAGCATAACTTAGCGGTTAAGAGTATGCACCCGCATAATAAAATTATGGGCGTGTATAATATACTCGACCCGTTCCGACCTACACATAGTTACCCTAAAGTCTCCAAAGAGTTGCCTAAATAGATCTCCAAAAAAATACGCTGCATCTGAACCCTAAACCTGGCCAATGCCTTTGACCGCGTCGAGTGTCGACGCCAACTACCACTGCCTCTTGCCACCATGACTAGTGAGGAGATTGAGGAACGACCTGTTGGAGATGATCTACATGCGGATAATGATGATGATTTTGAACCTCCTTTCGAGGAAGAAATGGATGAGAACATTCGCCACGAAAATGATGAGGAAGAATAATTGAATTGTTTTATTAGTATCTTAAAGTGTTACGACTTACGAGTGTGTTTAGTTTATGATTTTAAGTAATTTAGGGTGTGTTTGACAACTTCAAAGAAGTAGTTTTGATACAAGTATGGTCCAGAAACTAATATTTCATTGGCAAAATTTTGGCCACATTTGAACTAGTTTTTTTAGTTCAAAATTTCAAATTCTAGCACTTAAACTCGTTTTCTTTTGGACAACCCCTACATGGACCAACTCTAGCACAAACTCTAGCACGGTCAAGCAAAAACTAGTCTGAACCCAATCTCATTTTGGATTTGCCAAACACAGCCTTACTTTTACGTGTAAAACAAATTTTAGATATTTATTATACAGCATTACGACATGTAGGTGGATTGAGCTTTACTTCATTCTAAGAATTTTTTTTACAATATTGAATTTTATACCAATATGTTGTTCCTTTGTATTCCTAAAAAGAAAAGGTGCAGGAAAAAAGAAACTACCACAACCACTACCAAGTTGGATATGTCATAATGGTAGAAATTTAGAAAGATGCTTACTAATAAATTTCTAAATATAGATTTCTGAAATTTTAGGTACCCTTGTATTTCTAGATCCCTAATAAATTATAATCAGTGTTTTCTAAAATTTATTGATATATCAGTCATTAATGTAGTTATCATTTTCCTCCCAAATAGGTTTAAGCTGTCTAACGTAACAAATTTGAGATGCTTCACCAAAAAAATTTACAAGTTATAAGCTGACACTGTAGTTTCTTGTCCATGCAAAACAACCAGTATAACAGGGCCTTCTAAAAGAAACCTAAAAGACCAATGAAGCATATGAAGATCGATGTACCATTATCCCATCCACCAAAGGAGAAACCACCAAGTTTTCTGAATAATTGATGTTGTAATAAGATAACTTTTTTTTAAAGTCAGACAATGTTGCTTTTGGATATTGCACTTCACCTCCGATGAAAAACTAAAAAGCCAAATGGAATCATAATCCTGACATGTAATATTCTACACTATACGAGAAACGGTAAATAGTATCGCAATTCATGATGAACGGGTCAATCATCATCATTTAAGACTATTATCATCAATCCACAGCCTGACATGAACCATGTAGATTTCCACCAAAAGTCCTAGCAAAATGAAATTATGAAGACAAGGACCCTTTCCACATTCTCTTGTGTGTGATGTAGCGGGGTAGGGACAATTGTTATGTAAGTACCTTATGCAGTTCAAGTTCATACAACAACAAACTCTCATATAGTTATTCAGTGCCTAGGTAGCATGGATACGGGTACGGACATGGACCACAGCAAACACACACACACACGTATATTACATTAGATCAAATATTGAATTAAAATATCCATAACATTTGTATGTTTCTTTCTATTTTCTATAACAATTAAGAAGCAAGTTAAATCAAACTAAAAATAAGGTTTAACAATAAAAGTTTATTTTTGTACCATATGGGATAATATGATGGGTATTTCGCATATTTAAGTAACGGGTTACAGTTTTCAAGTTCAAGAATCCAATATTACCAAAGAAACTAGTTTAGGATATAAGTAATAGGGAAATCGGTTTTTGCTTTGACCCACACGTGTCCATGGCAATGTCCGCGGAAAATCTGTGTCTAATACGTGTAGACACAAACACGGCACCCAAAACATGGTGTCTGAGTAACCTAGGTCAGTATAAACGAAAGGGAAAGATGATCAATTCCTTAGAAAGGAATTATAACTAAACCTGAGGGGAGATAAAAAACTAAAAAACAAACCTAGAACATTGCCAATTTAATGTGTTCACGTGTTCACACTCAATATGAGACGCTTCGAGATGGAAGAAATAGAGGAGTGCTTTAGGAGTCTTATGTAACCGACTGACCATAGAGCATAGAATACCGATGAGGCTAAAGGAAAATTCAATAGAATGGTTATAAAAACAACAATGATTTATGGGTCAGAATGTTGGGAAATTAAAAAAACATGTGCAAACAATGCGTGTAGCAGAAATGAGAATGTTACGATGGTCTTGTAGGTATACACTAAAAGATAAGAAATGAGTGCATCCGTAGTTAATTAGAGGATGCTCCTATTGAGGATAAAATGAGAGAATCCACTAAGTTGGTTTGGTCCCAATATACAACAGCTAGGAAAAGTGATATTATTATAGTTGTGTGGCAAAGAAATCTAGAGTTACACCTAAGAGAACTTGTTTAAAAGCAATTAAGAATGATATAATAATGCTTAACGGAGAAGATGGCTAGGACTCAGACTGAATGAAAGAATAGGATTCATGTAACCAACCTCAACCATTTGGGATAAGGTCTTCGCTGTTTTTATTGTTTTTGTTACAGTAAATATGAGAAGCTTATGTCAAATAGCACACAGAATAAATTGGCAAAAATGTGCTTTCTTAGTTGCCTCTTGTTATTGTTGTCCTTGATATTGTCACTACATTCAAAAGAAAAAGAATATGATTCAAATGGGTAAACAATATAATGTGAAATACCACAAAGAATAATTATTATATCTTGCTAATGGAGTTGCATACCTGCTATTACATAAGCCAACCGCCTCCATTTGCTATGATGCTCACTGAATTGCCCTAATAACCTCTGAAGAATACTTCTGAATTTAGATTCTCTGTCTGCTTCTGCTTGAGCAAGTTTTGACAAGTACTTCTTAATTTTTGGTGTCCAGTATCGAAAAAATCCCTTTACATGTACATAAAGAAAGAAGGATCTTCTTAATGTAAGGTTAAAACTTCCTACAAACTTTCACTAGAAAAATTAGTCACATAACAGACACACTTAAAACAGATATTTCAAGAAATTTCATTTTTGATGGTTTGTAATCATTAAATTTCTCTTATGATTCAATCTGTTGCAACTTTAGGGTAGAAAAATATGTCAAGACTAGCTAACTAATATATACTTGCTCCTAGCTAATACCAGCCAATACAGTACACTTGTTCCAAGACTCCAGTATTATGAGTGTGGAAGAACAAACGTTTTCTCAATTGTAAGGGTGAAGCTCATGAGATGGCATTACTGATTCTGTTGGAAATGCATAGCAAACATACCCAGAAAAATAAGTTGGATCTTCTCACTGCAAACGAAAAAATTACTGCCAACCAAGAAAATGAAGATAGAAGGGTTATTTATTGGAGAATTTTTTAAAAAAGACCATTTTTAAAAATTAATTAGCAAAAACGTCCTTTGTGCTAAATAATTAGCAAAATCAACCTCCTTTTGGCCAGTCTTGATAAGCTGGACAAAAAGAGGTCGATTTTGTAAAATTTGGAATAAAAATACACAGAACTATTAGTCCCGTGCATTTAGCGTTTACTAATTAACTTCTAAGCACAATGCAGAAAACATACGGGACTAATAGCCTTGCGTGCTTTCAGGTTTTTCAATGGCTCGGTCGACTGGTCACATGACGCTGCAGGAGGACGCGTAGGCGTCTGTATGGTGTGGAGATCACGTGGGCTTTCAAGAGTATTGAATAGCATGGCCCCACACTTTACACGTGGTTAGGAATCCTGCTGTCACGAAGTGCTACCGCAGCAAAGAGAGCAAGCAACAGAGAAGGCCTTTGTCCCTCGCAGGAAATGATGGCGGGCTCAAAACATCCACGAATGCTTGATTCCGAATTCGGAAAATTTCCATTATTTTATGTTCACGTTGACTTTGTGGAACCCTGATATTATTGGACATGTGTTGAGTGTTTTATGGTTAGCTGAGGTATGGGTTTTGGGTGTAGTGAGGATCCTTGATTTGAAAAGTTTTCACTTTTTTGGTGTAAGTTGCTGTTGAATGGATGTGTAAGATGTCACTTAAAACTAAAAACACATGGGACTACTAGTCCCGCGTGTTTTCCGGATTGTACTTAAGAGATGATTAGTGATGTTTAACACACAGGACTAATAGTACCGCGTATTTCTAACATTAAATTTAGCAAAACCGACCTCTTTTTGGTCAGCCTTGATGAGCTGTCCAGAAAGAGGTCGACTTTACTAATTATTTAGCAAAAATGTCTATTTTGCTAATTATTCTTTTAAAAGGGTCCTTTTAAAAAATTCTCCTTATTTATTCTCTTGTGCATGAAAGTCCATGTAATACATAATGGAGGAGAAATCTCATAGCACAACTGAAGGGAAGAATAGGATTCATGTAGGTAACCCCAAACATTTGGGATAAGTTTTGTTGTTACTATCGATGATATTGTATGCGCAGAGCTCCATAATCCATCAAATACAAAAAGGTCATACTAAGTAACTACTACTTTGACTTCAATTCAATGTGTTTGATAGTTTGAAATATAGCTCTCAGTCACTACGTAGATTTTCTACTTTTACATCCAGGAATGTTTATCAAGGAGAGTTTTCATTGTGAGAATTATGTTCTAGGTTTTTATTAGAATTTCACATCAAAACTTTCCCCTAGAAACCACATATCATGTGGTTTCAAGTTTAAACCCAAGCATCAATTGTCTTCGAAATGTTGTCCCAGACCAATTAACCTTAAGACCTCAATCGCTGAGGCTACAAGCCCAAGATGCAATGAAACAAACCAACGTTTTCTGATTAACCCCTCCACCTGTGGTGCTAGATGAACTTGTATATTCCTTAGTGGAACCTAACTCGTGCTCTCTGTGGCCTCATTAACAAAAATCACTCTAGAGAAAGTAATCGGATCCTATGTCAATAGTAAGGTTATACCCTGCAACCAAATAGCTTGTGCAGAAAGAGCAATAAGTCGACATATAAGAATATTCCAACACCTAGTGTGTGTGTGTGTGCACGCGCACGTGCGCATGAATTATATCAAATTAAGGACAAAGAAATATACGCACACAAACACGCATCCACACATACTTACATGGATGATGAATATGACCTGCCCCCTCATTTAGTAAAATGAACTAGCAAGAAATAAGAGCAGTGGGGTTAACATTCTTCCATGTGACTAGCACGATGCGCACCTGACTACTAGTCTTTCTTGGCAGCTCATTAAACAAATATACCTAGCACCTCATACCCATTTCTTTCCCCATGCACACCACCAAATGTACTCAGACATGTGCGTCCTTGAACATCTTTTCCCTTGAGCTACCAACTTCCAACTCTCGATTGTTCTATAATTTCCGTACTTGAATTGGACCCAAGCCTCAGTTCTCAGGGAGAAAAAACAGAATATAACTAAGATTCCTTAGAAAGGAATTATAACTCAACATCAAATTTGCTAATTTCTCTTTCACCGAATAATACAAAAGGTATCCTAGTTAGAACTAAACTAAATAATACAAAAGTTTTAATCATTTTAGATGAAACTGAACATAAATACTGAATCAAACTGAACTATTTCAGGTCGGTTCTCTCGGTTTTATCGGGTTGTATCATCCTTCACCAGCAAGCAGCAACAAGCTGCCCCCCAGATCGCAACCCAGAAACTAAGGCTGTCACTATTGCTGCAGATAATTAATGGAAAAATCAAAGAAGAAAAATAGGAAGATAATTAAGGAAATTGAAGGTTGAAGATGAACAAGAAAGTGATATGGATGATTGAGTTCTTCAATTTGGTTATGGCCACAGCAAGGAGAGAGGCCATGATAGCTTGGTTTCGATTTTGGTATTTGCAGGATTATCTCTCTATTTTTAAGCAATAGATGGAGACAACTTGCATTGTTGGGAATTTGATTAACTCATGTGGGCACAAGCAAATAGAGTACCGGGTATGGTTGTGAGGTTATTGGCCTACTGACTGAGAATTTAAAGGGAGAGGGTTTTGCAATCGGTCCAGTGAAAACGAGTTGAAAATTTTTCAACCTGAACCTAACCAAAAGGATTATGAAACAGAACCAAACCGTCAAAAATTAGACGGTTTGGTTGGTTTAGTCGGTTTATGCCAAACTTTTCTCAGCACTATATTCAATGCCAAACAAAAGGAACTAAGAATGATTTACTTCCATTCTTCATATCTCTTTGCGATACAATTATGCTCCATGACATTATCATTTAGTACAAGCTTGATCAGACTTTCCCAGTAGAAAGTAGAGACTGCTCAAGAAAATGAAAATCGGCCAAATGCAAGTAGATGAAATATGCTCAAGCAAATCAAGGTCCGTTAGACATTATTAGACAAACTTTTCTCTATAGGAGTTTATTCAGAGAAAAGAAGCATACAAGTTTATATAAAAAGGATATTTACATATTTGTCATCATACAATTTTCTGAAGATGACCCATGAAAGTAATCACATCAGAAATGTGAATCATAAACAAATATGAAATGTCACCATGAAATATATAATTCTTAAGTCAAAGACCAAATTATAGCAAAGAACAAGTATAATTGCTAGTTTATAAAAGTTACTACTTTAAAGGATGGAAAATATATTAAGTTAAAAACAGGGTCCTAGGAGGAATATTATGCTTATATATTGCTAAGGCCATAATCAGTATCATAATCATGACCAAGTATAATTGCTAGTTTATAAAAGTTACTACCTTAAAGGATGAAAAATATATTAAGTTAAAAACAAGGTCCTAGGAGGAATATTATGCTTATATATTGCTAAGGCCATAATCAGCATCATAATCATGACCATCCCATAGAGTTACATTCAGAAAAATAGAGCTACCTATGACTTCTAAAATAAGAAGTTTTGTGGTCCCAAATATAGTAAGAGAAGAATCACTGTGTTCCTTCTGTTATGAAATGAAATTAAAGCTGTAAAATATTGCGTCTAACATGCAAGGATCATTATAACTTAAAGTTGTTTGGTAATGTGTATGATACACATAGAATTTGACTATAACCCAATTGGCAGAATCAGGTCTTGGTCCAACCAACTAAAAAGTATATGTTAGCGCATCAAAATTTAAAATTCATTTATATTTAAATAGCCAAAAACCGAAGAAAAAATTTATATGATGCGAATTTTTTATCATATTGATCAACAACATGCAAAATGATAGGGATTAAAATATTATGCTGGACAAAACTATGTGTAGGGCTTCGAAATAAGAATTCAGAACCATTTTATCTTGACCTAGGTTACTGAATATCCCATCTAAGTCAAGTTTTGACAGTTTTAGAATTATTCTAGGCTGCACATAAAACCAGTTTGCTACTGAAAAGTGTCCATTTTGATCTCACTGATGTACATGAAGGAGATTGCAGAAATATCTATTTTTATAAGGCAGTCCAAAACTTGAGAGCCTGTTCAGTAGTATAGAATCATAGATCTATTTGAGATGCAAAAAATATACTTCCCGGAAAATAGGATAGAAGCCCAAATCCAATCAGTAGCACCCAACGCTATAAAACTAACATGTCCATGGCTATATAATCAATAGTTCCTACCCTATAAAACTAACATGGCACTGGCTGTACAATCAAGAGATTTGACTTAGAGCCAGGCAATAAATCTTATCAAAACTCTCGTGGTATAATCAACATATATCCATGTAATAAGATAAACAGTTTGCCTTTATCAAGCATCTAGCAATGTACATTATACAAACACATAAGATTTAACAAAAATTAGAAAAAAGTAGTCATATAGAATGCAGATGATAGAACTCATTTTATATACCTTTTTAGATGAGCGAAGCTCATATTCTAGAGAGACATGTGAACTCACGCTTTCAGGTACCTCTAGGAGATATGAATCTTTCCCCACTGTGACATAATTAATCTACAAACCAGAATGTAGCTGTAAATGGACATCTGATGCAATAGAAGTAATAGCCACAGTATATAATAGTGTTCTTGCATTTCTAAGTTTATTTTTTACCGAGGAATCCCCCAGTATTCTACGTTGTTTTGTCAGGTACTTCTTCAGACGTAACTCGATCTTCTTCAATCTAATGCAAGCTGTATCATACTCAATATCAACTCCTTGATGAGGTATAATCCGCCCTGACCGTTCAGCTTCTGTCCAGTCAAATGCTTCCTTGAAGTGGTTTAAAACTGAAGAAACATCAGGTAGCCCTTTGCCTGCATACATTACTCATTAGAGGAAAAAAATAAACAAAATAATTCAATGGTACATCAACTATTAGTTCCATGGGTATTTTCAACATTACCCGGTGTTAGTAAATGATGAAGTAAACCTGATTCTGTACAAGTCAAAATGGAATTCAGAGAAGAGCATGCTTGAATCATCACTTCGCAACTTCTAAGAACATAAATAAATTCCTGAAGCAGCTTCTTTGCTGCATCTTCATAAAGGGCTACTCTCTTCGCATAATTTCCATTATTGTCACTGTTGTTCATCCAAAGTAAAAGGGACATATAAATAATACTTAAAGGAAGCAACAATATTACATATAAAACTTGAACATTGTGCAACATTAACTTAATAATATATTGGGAAACTTGAACTCATTAAAGCAGACCTTTTTAATATACAAATGTATTGGACTCAGATTTTTATTGTACCTAAAGGGGTGCTTCATGAAGTAGAAGCAGTATGTAGAACCAACCTATAGGATGGAAACACTCTTAATAAAAGCAGAACGCTGGTAACTTAGCATCGTGTCTGTAAAATAGTTGGGATTTTGATTGAATGGAATGTAGCAGCTTTGTGTAAGCAGATGCGGTTTTGAATTTATGGGTTAAATTGGTTCATAAATGTCACCTGAATAATTTTTGCTTATGGGAAGCTCACAGAAAAACTGGGGCTTCACGGATTTGAAACTCTTCAATTGTTTTCCTGTTACTCTTTCAAATTGGTGTGTCCATCAGTCTTTATATATACAGAACAATTGAAGTGATATAGAACTTGATGCTACTCTACCAGTAACTACGTCACAGATGCACAAATCTCATGATCTATCTTTTCTAATATGATCAGATAATTAATCTCATAACTCATTGTTACGTATACAAAAACTTCTTAAAATAAAATACTAAGTTACTAACATTGCAAAAATATAAAAATTACAACCAAAAGTGTATCTTAAAATAAAAATTTCAAGTTGAAACATTAAAAAGATCATTCTATGGCTTCAATTCCTTCATCCTCCTCAAACACAACGGCCTCCATCGGGGCTCGTCAAGAGAAAGGGCAACAACATCTAAAATGCCAGCATCTTGAAATGAGTCGAAGGCATCTCCACCAATATCCCACATTCTTGATTCCCCTTCCATATACTCTTCCGATCTTCGAGAAAGTAAGCGAAAGTTGGTGTGAACATAAACAAGATCCTCTGCACATATCTGGTTAGCTTGTTCCTCTTTAAGGAGTGAATGAAACCATACGTACTCCAATTCTGTTCACCACAAGAAGAGGAACAAGATTGGCCTAAAAGCTTTACGGCCAATGCTTGCAAATTTGGAGTACTTAAACCATAAAAAAGCCACCATGACTTAGGATCCATATGTGCTCTATCGGAAAGAGAATCAGAATCACTAAAAGCCTCCAAAGCCCCTACAAACTTAGCATATTCCAAGTTCACCACCCGTCGTTCATCGGGGTTAGGATAGTATCTTCTTAAGCACTTTTCTCTTTCCGTAGAGATCTCAAGATCTTGATTTGGAGCTTGTCGATTGATGTTCTCATTAAGGCATGTGGAATGATAGTACCTATGTTTGTTAATAACATGAATTAGCCCACAATGTATTAATTAATAAAAATATTCGCATTAAAGAGTGAAATGTGAAATATTACCTTAGAACTAAAGAGTGTGCCAAGCACTGAAGCAAGGTGTTGCTCTTGTTCCATCAATCCACTAAAATCTTGTGAACCACCTCATAAAAAGGAGATTCCTCGTTATCCCTTTTACCCTCATGCCTATAAATAGCTTACTTCACCTTCTCAATCATTATATCCTACATATCATACACCAAATAAAGACATGGTATATCAGTGTCGGTGACCCTTATCATTTCATAGATTGGGCCAGTGAAGTCAAGAATAAAATCTATCTTGTCCCGCCACAAATCATCGAGAACTTTCTCTTTAACAAATTGAGCTTTCCCCACATCATCTTCTCTATACAAGCTCCGTCGATCACTAAGGACCATGTCTTGGAGGCCTCTCTTGATGATCTTAAACCTCTTCAACATAATAATCCACGAGGCAAATCTTGTGTCGACAATCAATAGGAGCTTCATCTTGGAATAATCATTGAACATGGCAAGCCGCATAGAGTGGTTCATGATAAAATTCTTCATAAGCAATGCATCATCGGAGATCTCTGTAATCCAATGTAATTGTGCATAAGCCACGACATTTGCTTCCGTGTTCTTAGCCGCACAAATATTCTTAATAGCAAGATTGAGTGTACGGACTACACAAGGAGTCCAAAATATGTGAGGCCCCTCCATCAGTGTTTTAAATATCGGTCGATAATCCGATATTATCGCTGATATATCGGATTTTTGAGCCTGCCGCTAGAATAAGTGCAATTTGTAATCGGTTATCGTTTTGGACAAATTATCGGCGATAAATCGCCGATAACGACAATTAGCGCCCGATAACAGAGAAAAAGTTATCGAAATTATCAGGGCGCTTTTCACTTGAGTTGCAGTGTTGAGATATTAAACCCGACCCGACCTGTTTCACAATAAAATGAAAATTCACCTTCGTGAATCCAGACCTTCAAGCCGTAAATCTTTGGCAGCTGTTCTCTAGTGAATCTTCGTCGCCTCGACTTCTTGAATCTCCAGCGAATCTTCGAACTCCAGCAAACCTCAAGTGAATCTTCGAACTCTAGCGAATCTTCGTCGGTCTCGCCTTCGTGAATCGCCTCTTCGTCGGTCTCGCCTTCGTGAATCTCCAGCGAACCTCGCCTTCGAACTCCAGCGGGATTGAGGTATCATCTCTTGGATTGAGGTATCATCTCATCTTCATTTCTTCTCCTCGCCTTCGTTTTGTGTTTTCTATTTTTCTAGTTTTCTATTTTCTATTTTTTTTTCTTGCGCCTTCGTGAATCTTCGTCGCCTCGACTTGTGAGTTGTGAGACTTGTGAGACTTCTTCATTTCTTTTTAATCTTTTTTTTCGTCGCCTCGACTTGTGAGTCTGTGACGTGTGAGTTGTGAGACTTGTGAGACTTCTTCATTTCTTTTTAATCTTTTTTTTCGTCGCCTCGACTTGTGAGTCTGTGACGTGTGAGTTGTGAGACTTGTGAGACTTCTTCATTTCTTTTTAATCTTTGACTTGTGAGTCTGTGACGTGTGAGTTGTGAGACTTGTGAGACTTCTTCATTTCTTTTTAATCTTTTTTTTAAGTTGATTGGGTGTTTTCTGTTGTGAACTTGTGATACTTGTATAAGAAATTTGTTATAACTGGCACTGCAACTAATTTTTTAATGGTAACTAGTTTATAGAAATTAATTTCGAGCAATTAGTTTTTACTTGAGCAATTAATTTAACTGCAAGTCTGTAACTAATTTTACACTGCAAGTGTTGTTTATTTAATTATAAGTTAATAACTCGGTCAATAATCTTTGAGTTTTGTCGAATCATTGTTCACTCTTTACTGCGACTAATATTGATTAGTTTTACAACTTGGATATGCAGATAGTTTACAATTGCTATTTTAAGTTGTCTTCCTCAGTTCCTTACTTCGTTGAAATCTTGATGTTTGATCTCAAGTCTGCAACAAAATAGAAATGACTAATGTTAGGCATAAAATTTTATGACGTGATGAAATAAATAAAATAAATAATTAAATATACAATTCCGATAATTATTACTTATCGTCGATATAACCCCAATTTTCGTTATCCGATAAGGATTTTGACCATCAGATAAATCCCCAATAACCGATATTTAAAAACTTGCCCTCCACAAGCCCTCCCACAACCTTACATACCGAAACATTATCGGTTATGATTTGGATGATATTTTGCGGTCCTACCTCTGTGATGCACTTTTCTAGCTTCGCTTGGATAAAATATTTATTCTTGACTTCTCCCTCAGCATTCACGGCATTCAAGAACATTGGCTTACCCTCACATACCTTCATAAAATTGATGATGGGACTCATTTATACATCCGTCCGCCCATCACTGTAAAATGAGGCCCCGTTCTATTGCCATGTGCTCCTGATGGGCTCCATCAATCTCTCTACGTGAGTTTTCTCACGTTGTAAGATAGTGGTCCTCATGTAATTGTAACCAAGGAGGCTTGTAGCTAGAGATTAGATTACTTGCGGCATATGCAAAAGCCTTGGCATACTATGGATTCCTTGTCAAGTTGAAGGACAATCCTTCGGTGAAGAACATCCTATCAATCAATGCATCCAATTCCTCCCTTGCTCCCGTGTTGAATGCTTGTTCCTCGTTATTAAGCCCTCTCCCCCTCTTAGATTCACTTGCACGAATTAACATGCTTGCACTTGTACTTACACCTACACCGATCGTACTTGCAGTCGAAGATGTAGGCAGAACTGGTGTCTTAGGCCTAGAAGCCCTCAACCTCGCCTCCGCTTGATCCAACTTCCTTTGAAACTCTCTTAAGTTTTCGGGCGTTGACTTGAAACACATTTTAATTCCAGTCTCACTTATCCTCAAGACGTGATTTTTAACTCTTGAGTGTGAATCGGTAAACTCCTCTCTATAATAATTACATCTCCATCTCTAATTTCCTCCTGTCGTCGCCCCCACTTTTCTCCAATTTGGTAACATATTTTCAAAGCGGACATTTGTCATCTCGTACTCCACTGCCACTAGAACTCCCTTCTTGTTCCATTTCTCTAAAATACAATAGCAATAACAGTAAATTAAAAAATTAACAATAGCAAAACAGTAACTAAAATCCTAATTAACAGTAAATTAAAAAAAGAAACCCTAATTAATTAACAGTAAATTAACATAAAATAGTAAATTAAAATGTAAAAACAATAAAAAATTTATATCTAGAGAGAATCAGAGAGAATTAGTGAGAGAAAGAACCAAAACTGAGAGAGGAAGAGATCGGAGAGAGAGGAATCCAATATCAAGAAAGAGTCAGAGAGAGGAAGAGATCGTAAAGAGAGAATCAGAGAGAGGAAGAGATCGAAGAAGGAGATCGAGAGAGAGACTAAGAGATCGGAGAGAGTCTGAGAGAGGAAGAGATCGGAGAGAGAGATCGGAGAGAGAGATCGGAGAGAGACTGAGAGAAAGGAAGAGACTTAAGATCAAGAAAGAGAGAGTCAGAGAGAGGAAGAGATCGGAGAGAGAGAATCAGAGATCGGAGGGGGAGAGAGATCGAGAGAGAGAGAGACTGAGAGAGAGAATCAGAGAGAGAGGAAGAGATCGGAGAGAGAGAGAGAGAGAGATTGAGAGATCGAGGGAGAGACTAAGAGAGAAAGATTGAGAGATCGATCGAGAGAGAGACGAAGAATCAGAGAGAGAGACTGACCTAGGTAACGAGAGATCGATAGAGAGGACGAGCCGACGAGGACAACGACTTTCCCCCTCGTGAAATCGTTGTGTCCTTGCCATTCGGGAGCGAGTCCAGCCGTGTCGGGAGCGAATCGACACGCGTGTCGGAGGCGTTGACCGCGTGTCCGACGCGTGTCCGCGTCCGACACGCGTCGGACACGGACTCGGGGCTTGTTTCGTACTGTCGGTGCTTCATAGATTTCAAATATATAGGCTTTTTAATTTAGAAACCTAGATTTCAATGAAGAGGTGATGAGGACATCGCACAGCCTCCACTTCGCACATATTTTCGCCGTCGCCGTCGTGTTGCCACAGCTCATATATGGCTTTGATCTGGAGAAGACTTGGAGTCTAGCTAGCATTTAGTGTTTTTAAAGCGCGAGGCACAATGCGGGGCGCAAAGTCAGTTTACGCGCACATGCGCAAGGCGCAATGCAAGGCGCGCGCCCGAGCGAAGCGAGGCGTAGTCCATTCCACAAAAATTTTGATATATACAAGATGAATGAAAAATATATATATATTTGTGAAATTTCACATAAAAAAATATCAAGGACTCGAGATATATAAAATATATACTACCAGATCACAAAATAAAGTTTTAATCATTGAAGCAAATCAAGTTGTCCAACAACACAAAAAAATAAAGCAACTAGAACACTTAAGGAGTTCACTAACAGCAAAGTAAAGCAAGCAATCTAATTAAACAAAGCAAATAAGTAGCAAAATAATAGCCTAGTGCCTCTAATGACTAATCGTCCTCATTAACATCATCATCCTCTTCTAAGGGTATATCCTCCTCTTCAGTCTCCTCCTCATCATTAAACTCCTTTTCATCTTCCGACTCAGAAACTGGCTCCCTCCTCCTCGACGAAGAACCAATACCACTCGAAGATCCTCGAAACCTATTAGTCGATCTTAGATACATAGAATCATCTTCTTCAGCTCTCATCGCATCTTCTATGACACCATATGTAAGGTTGTCCTCGCCCTCCACCAGGTCATTCTCTGTATTTTCACCTTCACCGAACTTCCCTAACAATCATTCATTGCTTTCATCTATATCAGCCAACTTAATTGGATCAATAGAATCTCTACAGTCATATCTCTCCTTTAAAGCTTGGTTGTACTTGCAGCAAACTAAATCTTGCAGCCTCTTATGATCCAATTTATTCCTCTTCTTGGTGTGTATCTGTAATTTATACAAATTAATCAAATCAATATTCATATCTCTAAGGGAATTAAATCTATTTTGTTTAATAAAATAAAACTAATCATACTTGCTCAAAAGTACTCCAATTTCTTTCACAGCCAGAGGAGCTACAAGTAAGGCCGAGAACTCTAACAGCAAGCTTCTGCAACTCTGGCGCTGATGCACCATAAGACTCCCACCAATCAACTGTCAATTTAAATAGACTGTGATTAGTAGTGTATTTCTTATAAAAAATCTAGTCAATTGAGAGTTTATATTATGCATATTTACCTGGAGACTTCCTCTTTCTATCTCTTAGCTATCTCTATACCAAAAAGACCCCCAGCATGCCTGTATATATCCAACTGCCTATCAACCTTGTCTTGGTCTTGTGTGGGCAACATCTTCTCAATGACTTGATAAAGACCTCTCATAACTTCGTCATCCCCTTGGATGTTTGGATAGTCATAGAAAAATACAGGATTAAGGCAATATCCTGCAGTATGCAAAGGCCGATGAAGCTGATTCTGCCACCTCTTATCAATGATATCAAATACCTCAGAATATTTTTAAAGATCATCACCAAAGGCTTTAGCAATAGTCTTCTTAGCTCTATCCATCGTCTCATAAATGTATCCCATAGCAGGCTTTTTGTCACCATCAACAAGTTTCAGAACACAACCAAGAGGAGCCGTCAGCTTGAGAACACGAACAATGTTGTTCCAGAAAGATGGCATATGAACTATCCTTTCAGCTGATTTGCCCTATGAATCTCTTGCCCACTTACTTTGCCTCCATGTCTCCAAATTAAACATCTTTCTGAGGTTATTTTTCTATCGATAGATGCTTGACAAAGTCATAAATGATGTGGCAAATCGTGTCACCGCCAGTCTAAGAAGCTCTTTGCCATTAGTTTGACCTCTCATCAGCTTCAAAACCCACGCATGTGAGTAGATGAATCCAGTCAACTCCATAGCTCGACTCAAGGTTAGCTTCACAGATGGTAGTTTACCAATATCCTTGAGCATGGTTAGCTTCACAGATGGTAGTTTACCAATATCCTTGAGCATGAGATTAATACAATGAGCAGCACAAGGAATCCAATATAAATGAGGATACTCTTTTTCCAAATCCGCCCCTATAAATAAAAGAACAAAAAAAAGATCAATACCAGAGCATCCTAACATAGCATTAGCAAAGGATTCATAACCAAAATAAAATTAATTGCTTAAAATTTACCTGCATATTTGAGACTAGAATAGTTATCCGTGACGATCTGAACAACATTCTGAGATCCTATGAGCTTAATCTGCTCACTAAGTATCTCAAACATTCTGTCACCCGTCTTGATCTCATCAGACGCATCAATAGATGAAAGAAACACTGTACCACGAGGAGAGTTCACAAGAAAATTGATCAATGTTCTCCTCTTTTTGTCACTCCTACCATCTGACATAAAAGAACAACCTTTGGTAGTCAACACCTCTTTATGAGGTTGTATCAGATCATCAGTGTATTTTTTTCTCCTTCCTAAGCAAAGGCTCACTCAAATGGTGTAATGTCAGAGGAGGCAAGTTAGGCCCAAACACCCCCACGGACTTTAACATGATTTTGAAAGATCTAAGATGAGCGGCATTAAAGGGAATGTCGGCTTGATACCACCAACGAGCTATGTCTTGATGCATTTTAACCACTGCATCTTTGTTGAGACTTTCTTCAATACATGATTGTCTCAACTTGCGCCTTCTTTCATCCTTGGCGACCTCAAGAGCGGGATTGAATGTAAGAAATGCATCCATCGGTCCCTTCCTCTTTGGGCCTGTGGAAGATCCCGCACTGTGCATGCCAACACTCCCTCTTCCTCTTGTCGTTACTAAAGATGACCTAGGAATCGTCGAGCCTTTTCCTCTATCTCTACGTTCTTATACTTGTTCATCTTCATCCTCCTCATCATCAATTTCCACCATGTTCTCATCTCCAAGTTCAGGGAGATATTCATCTATAGCATGTTGTCTTTTAGCCATCTTTTATCTTTCTTCATAATCTTTTAGCTCTTCAACCACATCGGGAGGGACTTTTTGACAAAGACTCGCATTTTCGCGTTTTCTATCCGTCCCGATTAGATGCTCTTTTTGTCGAGATATGCCGCCATTTGTGATCTTGTTACAAAATATGCACTTACGTTTATTGGCATTCCCTTTATCAACCAATGAAGTATATTTCCATGTAGGATCTTGTCTTCTTCCACCACTCGCCGATGAAGACATATCTACATCAAAACACATATATACATTAAATTCATATTGCAATATTACATCACTAGTATTTTTTTAACAGAACACATCACTAGTATTTTGAGATCTACAAGATGAATGAAAAATTATTCAAACTTTCATACTAATATATTATATTGCATGACACTAACAACTATAAATGAAAAATTATTCAAACTTTCATACTAATATATTATATTGCATGACACTAACAACTATATTGCTAAATTTTGTTTTCCTTCTTTACAGTTCATACTAATATATTATATTGCATGACACTAACAACTATATTGCTAAATTTTGTTTTCCTTCTTTACATGTTATAAATGGCGAATCAAGTTTCAACTTTCAAGTCAACTAATAGCAGTGTAGCACTACATCTAGCTCAAATAGCAAGAATCAATACTCGCAATTTTGCACAGGAAATCAAATAGTATCACATTTTCAACAATTATGATTGATATCATGATATGTATTAATAAGAAACAAGCAATTAGTCCGTAAATCTCTTTGTAATTTAGTTAGCATTTCTACAGTCAAACAATCATTTGATTAACCCATCTTAAGTATAAGACGGTAAGACCATAACGTAAAATTACTAATTATTTTCTTAGTTCCATAAATGATATCTAATTCCTCAAGAGAAACATGACAAACGAGCCCTGAGGCCCCTCAATGACATGACAATAATATATTATAATATATCATGTAGTTATAATGCATACTACAAAATTATCTATCAATTCACATGAACAGAACTATCTTCATAAGATGGAAAAAAAAGATAAAAAAACAAGCACAAAAACGAGCAGATAAACGAAGATGAAAAAAAAGATAAAAAATGAGCAGAGAAACGAGCAGATAAAGAAAAGAAAAAAAATTAAAAAAACGAAGATGAAAAAGATAAACGAAGAAAAATATAAAAGAAAAAAAGGGAGAGAGAAACGAGCAGATAAAGAAAAAAAAACGAAGAAAATGAGAGAATCGGGAAGATAGAACACGAACCAAAATAAGAGAGAAGAAAAAAAACAGCAGAGAAAGAAAAAAATGGCAAAATACATTTGTCGCTATTCGTCGACCTCATGCCGCTCGTCGACCTCAGGCCACTCGTCGACCTCCG